GCGGGGGGGGGGCTGCCGGTGGGGGGGGGGGGGGGCGTGGGAGGCTGGAGATTCAGGAAGCCGAAGCCTTGGATTAAAGAACAGGCCTGTTGGCATGGAATCTTGGGTACAAGTGAGGGACCTGTGTTTTGTGTGATGGTGGGAGACTGCTTCCTGCTCCTAAGCCTGCCTTTCTCTGTTATGCAGGGCAATTTAGTCTCTGGTTCAAAAGGAAACTGGGAATTGTGGTGCTTGCTCACGGCAGAGGGGATCCTTTGAGCTGCCGCAACAAAGGACATTGTTCAGAGTGACTGGGCTAATCAGGGTAAGTTTGGCCAAAGAATAATAAGCTTTTCTAAGGCAAGTTCCTCTGGCCTGACCCAACCAGTCCCAGGAGGCCCCTGGGCTCTGACGGCAGTGGCTGCCACAGCAGGTGCACTGCTGTTGGCCCAGGAATGGGGTGGAAAGTAGAGCAACTGCTTTGGTCTGTTCAGCCCAAGACCCTCTCCAGTCCAAACCCAAGTAATGAGGGAGGGAAATACAGGTGAAGGGGAGAAGCAAATGCCAGTTAAATTGAGGGAAGGGGACACAGGATTGAACCTGCATCCCCTGCAATGGAAGGTGGATTATTAACTACTGGACCCCCAGGGAAGTCCTTGCTCTTTTGTTTTGACCTGTGAGCTGGAAGATTGTGTTCTAGCTTCCTTGTATGTAACATTGCTACTTTAGCCTTCTACAGCACCATCTTTTGCACATATTTTATCTAAACATCTTGATTATACTTCAGAGAAGCTGGGTATGGGCCAGATTCCTTCACCACTGAATGTATAGACCCAGAGGGACCTGAGTGCTCAGGCCAAAGCACCCCGGCAAGGGTGCAGGCTGGCCAGAGTGACTCCATCCCTGGGCCCTTGGGGGCCACATACCAATGGGATCTAATTGGGAATACAGGTTAGGGGGAGGGGGAGGACCACTCCAGGCCTGGTTCAGTTATAAGGATCCAGAATCACTTTCCCAAAGGATGGTACCAACTAAAGTTGCCAGATAAAACATAGGTTGAATCTAAATTTCAGATAAAAAAATTTTTTAGTATAACATGTCTCCCATACTTCATGAGACATACACTAAAAGTTATTCCTTATTTATTCATAATTCAAATTTAATTGCTAAATCTGCCAGCCTTCGATCTAACAGGAAACCTTTGGATTGGGTGCTCAAGGCCCTCCCGATATGGCCCCAGACCACCTTTCTTGCCTCCCTTCCTACTTGGCAGCTTGTGGGTATTTAGTTCTCAGACCAGGGATTGAACCTGAACAGTGAGAGCAGTGACAGCCCAGAGCCCTGACCACTAGACAACCCGGGAATTCCCCTCCCTTCCCATGTCTGTTCCTCATCCTTAACTCTGTTCCAACCAGATGAAACTCCAAGCTGTGTCTCACATTCTCTCTCCCCTCTGCCATCCTAACCTTTGCAAACTGTTGTCCCTCTGGCTGAAATTATTAATGTTTACATATCTCCACATCTAATATCCTACCCATTCCTCAAAGTCCATCGTGAATATTTTTTTCCTTCCTGAAGCTCTATTCTGCTTCCTCTATGGATCTTCACCAAAGTAATTATTACACTTTATTATTATTTTTGCATGTCTCCCCTCTCCTGAGCACCTTCCATTTGTGCTTATAAAATTTGTGCTTATATACTCCATTTGTATGTATAAAAGCGATTAAACAGAGTTATCAGTAAATATTTGATAAAAAGAATGAATTAGCCTATCAGCCCTCTGAAGGTCTAAATAGGGTCTATATTGTAATGTCAAAATAAGGTCTGTGCTATATTGTATGTCTAAATGAGATCTGTGCTTCTTATGCACAATTTACCATATTCCTCCTTGTCATGTAATATTTTTATCCGCATTTGTCTTGTCATCTCTGCTAGAGATTTTAAAGGCAAACACTGCGTTTCCCACTGTGTTGCAGACACCAGTGTTTAATGAATATATTTTGTGCTGCACAGATTGCAGGGGTAGGAGTATCTCTGCGTGTCCAGACCAAGCTAGACTCCACTCTCTTGCTTCTGCCCTGGTTCAAGGGCATAAGTGACTCTCAGTAAATCTCAAAGTCACCTGACCTGATCCTAGAACTGAACAACAGAAGATGAGCTTCTTGGAGCTACCCGAGGGTCTCCATTAAATGTGAGCTCCAGGAACCTTCTCAGAATTTCCCATGGGGCCCCTAAAACTTGCATGTGCTGCTAAGAGAGGTAAAGAGATAAAGGGACAGGTACAAAACTTGGAAACATCAAGCAAGTGGGAGACGGTGGTGAGGCCATAGAGAAATGGGAAGCATGGGTTTGGGATACAACAGAGAGCACTGCTCCAAGAGTCCAGTGACCTGGATTCTCTCCCTGGCTCTGTCTTTGCCTTGGGTGAGAAAGGAAAGAAAAGGTATATATGAGTGCCAGTGTGTACTTACATAGGTTTTATATAAATTTTCTAACAGGTCTGTAAGAAGCTGAGGTTCAGACAGGGAGCTGACTGGCCTATGGACACACAGCACAGTGTACCGAGGAAAAGAACACAAATTAACCTCTCACAGCCTCCGTTTCCTCTTCACTAAAATTAAAGACATGATATCATCTTTAACGGTCAGTTCAGTTCAGTTCAGTTGCTCAGTCGTGTCCAACTCTTTGTGACCCCATTGACTGCAGCATGCCAGGCCTCCCTGTCCATCACCAACTCCCAGAGTTTACTCAAACTCATGTCCATTGAGTCGGTGATGCCATCCAACCATCTCATCCTCTGTCATCCCCTTCTCCTCCTGCCTTCAATCTTTCCTAGCATCAGGGTCTTTTCCAATGAGTAAGTTCTTTGTATCAGATGGCCAAAGTATCAGAGTTTCAGCTTCAGCATCAGTCCTTCCAATGAATATTCAGGACTGATTTCCTTTAGGATGGACTGGTTGGATCTCCTTGCAGTCCAAGGGACTCTCAAGAGTCTTCTCCAACACCACAGTTCAAAAGCATCAGTTCTTCGGCGCTCAGCTTTCTTTAGAGTCCAACTCTCACATCCATACAGGACTACTGGAACAACCATAGCTTTGACTAGACAGAACTTTGTCAGCAAAGTAATGTCTCTGCTTTTCAATATGCTGTCTACGTTGGTCATAACTTTTCTTCCAAAGAGTAAGCGTTCTTTAATTTCATGGTTGCAGTCACCATCTGCAGTGATTTTGGAGCCCAAGAAAAGAAAGTCTGCCACTGTTTCCATTGTTTTCCCATCTATTTGCCATGAAGAGATGGGACTGGATGCCATGATCTTAGTTTTCTGAATATTGAGTTTTAAGCCAACTTTTTCACTCTCCTCTTTCACTTTCAACAAGAGACTCTTAGTTCTTCTTTGCTTTCTGCTATAAGGGTGGTGTCATCTGCATATCTGAGGTTATTGATATTTCTCCTGGCAATCTTGATTCCAGCTTGTGCTTCATCCAGCCTGGCATTTCGCATGATGTACTCTGCATAGAAGTTAAATAAGCTGGTGACAATATACTGCCTTGACATACTCCTTTCCTCATTTGGAACCAGTCTGTTGTTTCATGTTGTTCTAACTGTTGATTCTTGACCTGCATACATATTTCTCAGGAGGCAGATCAGGTGGTCTGGTATTCCCATCTAAGAATTTTCCAGTTTGTTGTGATCCACACAGTCAAAGGCTTTGCCGTAGTCAATAACACAGAAATAGAGCTTTTTCTGGAACCCTCTTGCTTTTTCAATGATTCAGCGGATCTTTAAGGGTCTCTCCTCCTGAACTTCAGTTCTTACTGTCAGTCGCTCTGTCGTGTCTGACTCTTTGGGACCCTGTGGACAGCAGCACACCAGGCTTCCCTGTCCTTCACTATCTCCTGGAGTTTGCTCAAACTCATGTCCACTGAGTCGGTGATGCCACCCAATCATCTCATACTCCGTCATCCCCTTCTCCTCCTGCCTTCAATGTTTCCCAACATCAGATAAACTTCTACTAGCAGAATTTTGAGGACAAACCCCTTCAACCATGCTGTAGATGTGAAATGGAAGCTGGGTAAGAAGCCTTAGGGAAGCCCTGAGCTGGGCTAGAATTTGTCTTCAGGCTATGGGCATGAACCTTCTGCCTCTCTGTGTCTGAGTCCAGAGAGTGATCCCTGGGGCATAGGTAGAGAGTATCTTGGACATGGAGCATGTGAATTACACGTGTGAATCCGGGAGAGGAAGAGCAAGTGACTTCCTGCAGCGATTAAGGGGTAGGACGGGGTGCATTTCCTGCATTCTTGGCCCAGGAAGGACGCGATTTTGTAGTGAGCACTTGACCAAAGAGTGGCTGGGAGGGTAATAGCTAAGGGCTTGATTAGGGAACGGGGTTTATTTACTAAGGGAGCCAAGGGAGGGGGTGATACTCCCCCCCCCATTCCTCTACCTGGGGTAGGGGTGCTACATCTGCAGTTTTCAGCACCCCTGCTGACCCTCGGGGCCCCCGCACGTTATACGGGAGATCTTAGCTGTCGGCCTAAGCATTCCAACCGGAGCAGGGCGGGTCACTTCCCATAGGGGACGCTGCCGCTGGAAAACGCTCCATCCAGCACCTGGGGTCGACAGCCCAGGAAAGGTGCTTCTAAGGATCTGGGTTTCTAGGAGGGTGGGAATTGCAGGGGGCGGGGCGGGATGGGTGTGGGCGGGGCGGCCAGACAGTGACTGAGCCCGGGGGTTGGGACAATATTAGCATAGCCTCCGCCCCTCTCGGCGCAGCCCAGCCCAGAAACCAGAGCGGAGGCCGGCCGCGCTCAGCCCCGGCTGCTGAATGGGCGCGCGGCTCCCGGCCCCTGCCCTCGCGCGTTGGACCCCAGCTCTCGCTCCCGAACCCGCTCCGTCTCCCGCTCCGCCCCGGCCTCCGCCGCCCGCCGCCATCCGCCAACCCGGCTGTGAATGAAAGGCCGGCGCCTCCGGGGGCTGGCTGCAGGCGACGCGGCCTCCCGGGAGGCGCTCGCCCCGCCAAGATGTACGGTAAGGAGGGCATTCTGCCTCCGGGCTGGCAAACTTGCAGGACGCGTACCATTGTCCCCCTGCGGGGCCCCGGCTAGGCCAGGGGGTGCGGACTCTGTGCCCGGCTGGGCTCTCTCTGTCGCTCGGTGTGCGCGCGCCTGCGTTGGGAGGACAAAGATGCTCAGGACCGGAGACCCAGGGGTCCTTGTGCTCCTTCGGGCTGCATGTTTGAGGGCTCTGGGGCGCGTGGGCGGTGGTCCGTCGGGGTGCGGCGGGACTCGGGGCATCCCAAGCAGCTAGGTTTCGGGGAAAGCGAGTCTCCCTTGGTGCCGAGGAGACAGGGGGTGTTGGTGGAGGTGGTCGTGTGACAGCATTTGCAGAATTAACAAAAGCAGGGTGTGCTGGGGAGTTTTATGCGGGAAGCCGGTCCGGAATTGTGGGGAGATGCTCACTGGCTGCCTTGTGCGGACTCCGAGGATGTGGGAGGCGGCGCCCGCGGTGCAGAGGGCTGGCCAGCGAGCCAGTTCTGGGAGACTGGTCTCGCCGCCCCTGGATGGACCTGGCCTCTGCTCGCCCCTGCCGCGCGTGGGACCCAAGCTCTTGAACTTCCTGGTATGCCCTCGGCCGTGCTGACGGGGAGAGACGCTGCCGAGGGTGCCAGGCAGCTCTGGGTGGCCACCTCTGTCTGTCACCCGATCTCTCTTGCCCCCTTCCACGGCCATCCCCTCAACTGATGTGCAACAGTTAGCCAGACCCTCATGATGCCCTGCTCTGCCTTAAAAATTTCCAGGAATTCCTCTGGGTTTGGAGGCAGTGTGAGTGAAGAAAAGAGCACTCGGGGTCCAGATTGCAGCCTGGAGGAATGGAGTACAGGAGACCCAGACCAGTTTGGAAACCAACTGCATTATAGAGCCTCCAGCTGCTGTGTGTGTGTCAGAGACAGAGACAGAGAAGACAGAGAGGATACCCATGGACCAAAGTCGTCAGAACTCAGGCTCTGGTAGCTATTTAGGGCCAACAGAGAGCTGGAGCTATGCTCAGGTCCCACCCCCGCAGCCAGGTAGGGGCTCAGGTGGCAGCCAAGAGGTGAGTGTTGGAAGAAAAGCACATTCTGGATTTAATCCATCACCAAGTCTGCTTGGCTGCCTCACTCTGCAAACACTGAGTCACAAAGTTTGTTGGAGGCACAGGAAGCTGAGAGCGGAGTACAGAGAGGCTCAGCAGTCAGTGGGCCTCGTTATTTAGAGACACTCCACCTTATGATCAGCCTCCTCTCCTGCCCGCTTTGGTCACACATGTGCATTTCTGAACCATGGGGACCATCAGCAGATCCCTTCAGCAAGTATCCTTTCTCTCCCAATGGGCCGAGGTCGGGGAGTGGAGTGGGAGGGGATTGACTTCACAGCGTGTGCTGTGGGGACTCTGCAGAAATGGTAGCAAGGCAGTTATGTTTTATAAGCTAGAAGCTTGTGAGGTTCCCAGGAGAGAGCTATATTTTCTTACTCTCTGTCCCCCTTCTCCCCCCCATTCTTTTCTGCAGAGTGAGAAGCCTAAGGCTGCAGATCACTTGACAAAAGCATGTGACTGCAGGGGCACCTGCAGTGGGGAAGGAGTTAGGACAAGGCCCATCAGAGTGGGTAAGAATTAGGAGTGCTAGTTCTGCTGGGTCACCTGGCAGCATTCAGTCCAAGACTGTTTGATGACTGATCCCAGGATACCTGAGCAGTGGGGGTCCCAAACTACCCTTGTTGCGTGAGGCAAGTCAAGGAAGAGTTGGATGGTACAGAAAGGTGAGCGGGGAAGCTGGTGTATCTGGGTGCTATTTTTGGATACATCACAGATTTTCAGGTCTCTTTTATAATATGTTCTTATTCCTCCAAACACAAACAGCGACAGTCCTCACCCCTGAATCATTCATAGAAAGGTTATAATGAAGGAATCCTCTGGGCAGTTGCCTGCAGCAGAGTCTTGCCAGTGCTGGCTGGGAGATGATTACTGAGTTTTAGTGCAAAGCCTTGTCTCAGGAGTTGTGAGAGGCACCCACTCTCCAAGGGGAGGGCTCGTTGGCCTGGATTTTACTATTTTCTTAATGCTTTTGAAAAGAAAGGGTCCATGTCATACTTTCAATCATTCTGTCCTCAGAGGCAGTCAAATGATGAAATAAGAAGTGAATAGGGAGATTGGGAAGGTGTAGAACAATAGACTTCTTATATTTGGTTCTTATTTTTCTAGTGGTTTATCCAGGGTGATACAGTTATATAGAAAGGAGCAAAATGAAAATGGGGGCTTCCAAGCCCAGTACCCTTCCCCTAATGCCCTAGGTAAGTGCTCATTAGGAAAATGCCACCAGGGATTTCATTAACTGATGGGCAGTGAGGCCCCTGTGTGGAGCCAACAGTCACCTAAGAGCTTTAGGTAAAGGTGTCCCTTGACCATGTACCTGGTTACAGGATCCATTGTCAATGTGCATAACCTCACTCCCATTGCTGCCTCTCAGCTGCATGGTGATGCTGGACAGGTCTTCATCTCCCCTCTTGTTTCCTCCTCACTTCCCTTGTCCTCGACATCTCAGTCTCTCTGGGTCCTCAGTTTCCCCCATCTTCTTCCTCCCATCTATGGGAGAATAAGGGTCCCTTGCCTTTACTAGAGGACACGGTATCATCTGGGACAGAAAGAATCCTAGACCTGGCATCAGCCCACCTCAACCCACAGTCAGATCATGGCTATTTTACCTTAGACAGGTGGGTTTGTCTCTTGGAATCACATCTCTGTATTAAATGACAAGATACCTATGTATCTCCCAGTTCTGTGCAAGCCTCAGGGCTGGCCCCTGGATGTGACAGTGCATTATAGGAGGTTCTGCACTCACAAGACAAATCACTCAAGAGCCTGTGCCCTTCAGGTCCTCCTGGGCCTTTGCCCTTCTCTCTTCCTCTCTGAGGCTCCTGAAGATGCGTGTTTGCATCATCTCCCCGACCTCCCACTTTAACACACAAGTCACCTTGACCTAGCTAACCACTCAAGCCTTTGAACCACGTCTGCTTCCCTCCACCAGACTTAACCATGCCGCTCTGAACCCTCACTCATTCCTAAACCCCAGTCACTGTTTGGAAATAGCTCTCCAAAAGGCCACAGGTGACTCCCCATAATCTTGTTTATACCTATGAACGTAGATTGACAAGGAACCTGGGAAAATAAAAGCACTTTATACTGGGGCAGGAAGACTGGGCAAATTCTCTGCAAAAAATGGATTCCCATTAGGTTTTTCTGTGTGTGTGTATATGTTAGAATTACATAATTAAAAGTTTCCCTAACCCTTTCCCCAGGGATGAGGCCACAGTGGTCTTGCCTAGAAGCCCCTCACTGACACCCCGAGGTGAGGCCAAGCTCTCTAAGAAATGCTGCCCTCGGAATCAGGGCAGCTGGATGTGAAGACGATTGGGATGGCTTTTCCCAGAACCCCTGTCTGGGTGGCCCCATCCTCCTAAAACTAAAGCTGCCCTAACGAACCCCTCCTCACCTCTAGGTGCTGCCCCATCCCCAACACATGCCTTTCTTCATGCTTTGTGATCCAGAAAGCTGACTGTAGGGAAAACAGCCATGGCACACAGCTTCCTGTAAATGTGCCTTACAGAGCGCTTGTGTGTGACTTGTGGATGGTGGGGAGACATGCAAGGGGGGGCTGACTCCACCTGTGACACAACGGCTCACCTTTGCAGACAGCTCCATGGAGTCCTGCTGCTCCTCATCACAGGAAACTCCCACAACATGCACACACACGCTCCACCCTCGTCCCCTGAATCCTTGAGGCAGCCCCGAGGTGCAGCATATGGTTCAAGTCGGGGTTGTGAGACTCTTCTCCCCTTCCCCTCTGACCCCTGTATTCCCCTTAGGAGGGAATTCAGGATGAGTAGAGCCTGTTTTCTCTCTTGCTGCTCACAGTTCAGTGATTTCAAACAGATGCAGTTTTCTTCTTGCACATAAATAAAAACAAAACGTTCATATCACCTTATGGAAAACCTGGAAAAGTGAGGAGGGGAAAAAAACCACCGCAATCTTACCACTAGAACCACCCTTATACACTGTTTTATAAATCACCCCTGAGATTTTGTGCTCACCTGCCTTGCCCTTTGGTTTCTCTTTCTCTTGCCTGATCCTGGTGTGGTAGCCTGGTTGTGGTGGTGCCTCTGCCCTCAGGTAACCTTGAACTTGACTTTCTGAACCTGTCTCCTGGCTCCACAAGATAACAATGCTTGTTTCATGGCAAGGATTAATCAGGGTCAGAGAGTTGCCCTCACTCTCTCTCTCCTCCCCTTTCTTCAACTTTCTCTCGTCTCTGTTTCTTAGTTTTAAAACAGGTGCAAAAATAAAATAAATGAAAACTTATGTCTCAAAGCTCAATAACAGTGCTTGTGATGCTGTTCCTGGTATAATAAAAGAAAAAAAATCTACTTGAAAAGCATCTTTTGGGAATTCCCTGGTAATTCAGTGGTTTGGACTCTGCACTTCACTGCAGGACGTGAGGGTGGGGTGGGGACGGATTTGATCCCTGGTCGGGAAACTAAGATCCTGCAAGCCACGTCACACTGCCAAAAAAGAAAGAAAAGCATCTTTTCCGCACTCCCCTCTGGTAGTCATCCAATCTTTCTAGAAAACCTGGAAAGCACAATAAACTATAAGCAAGTATAACTGCTTTTACTGTTTTGATATCTTTTCTTTAATGCATTTGTTTATGTGGTTAGAATTATTCATTTCCTATAATCTGGTATTTTATTTTTTTTCTACTTAACTTTACATATAAGCATTCCCCCAGCCCCAAGTTAACACAGAATCACTGGCTGCCATTTTTAATGCCCTGTAACAGTCCACTTAATGGACATATAATTTCCTTATTGTACATTTAAGTTGTTCATAAAGATTCAGTATTATAACCCTGGGAGGAGTCCCTGGTGCCCAGGGCTCTCTCTGGACTTCGGAATATGTCCCTAACCCTCCAGTGAGTTGGGGTTTCCCACGTGGCT